CAAAAGTGACTCAAGAAGAAAGACTACCCTAATAGTCCTATAATCCACTTTTTTAAATGATCAAAAGGGAATGTCCAACATTTCTTTTCAAGTATTAGACGTTGAAATTGATCCACGCAAGCTGAGAGTTCGGAATTCAGCATCATAACGCACTAGTAATATGTTCAGGTCTAAGAGGTTCCCGGATTTGGCATTCCCCCTCTCTCAGAACTAAGACTGTTGGGCTTCTCTGAAACACTCAGCCTTGCCTTCTCAACACTACAGTGGTAACTGACCTAAACTTGGCATCACCATGTATTCTGTGGGCCTAGGTCCTTATGTTAATAACCTGCTTAGCACTCCAGTTCCTGTAGCATTTCCACTAGGTCTACAACTTACCCACTAACTCCACATTCTCCTCTTCTTCCCCTTCCTATCTTTGATTTCCAGAGCTCTTCAGCTGGACGTTGCTATCTGCTGACAATTATTCTATTGATATAATGCCGACTTGTCTATGTGCTTTTATTTCTGAATATTACAAGCCCCTACATTCTCCACGGCCTTGCTATTCTCAACTTTCAGTCTCTCTCTCTTTATCCATTCATTTCTTTAAGATTTGATGCATACTGCTTAACTAGTTTACCAAATACTCTGCCAACACACCTTTGGACAGACGGAACTCTGCCTGCCTGGACTTCCTTCTAGTACTGCTTCTGGGTTTGTCCCTTAGCACCTGTCCCACACCAGTAACTAGGCCTCAGCCCCTCACACCATCTTCACGGCCTGACTCCTATGGCCAGGCCATACCTAGCCATGTCCTAAGACCATCACTGATTCTCTAGCTTAAAAACAGTGTGTATAACGATGATTCATTCTACAATTCTTTACTGTAAAATGTAAAGAATTATATATTTACAATGTATACTTGGAAACAAGTATAAAAATGCATATAAGAATAAGAGGGCTTCCCTGGTGGCACAGTGGTTGAGAGTCCGCCTGACGATGCAGGGGACGCGGGTTTGTGCCCTGGTCCGGGAAGATCCCACATGTCGTGGAGCGGCTGGGCCCGTGAGCCATGGCCGCGGAGCCTGCGCGTCCAGAGCCTGTGCTCCGCAACGGGAGAGGCCACAACAGTGAGAGGCCCGCGTACCGCAAAAAAAAAAAAAAAAAGAATAAGAATTTTATATGCTTGTGAGTTGAAAAAATTTTTTCAGGTGTAGGTAACTTCCTGATTTTCATATGCTCGTGACCTACTTATACGTCTTGAAAGAGAGTGAGTGTTCAGTGTTTATATGAAGAAAACTCTCAGAAATACTACCAAAAGTGAATTAAGAATAAGTCACATATTTCCTTATTTAGAAACTGAGAACAAATTAGTAACATTCTTTAATCTTAGGAATTTGGAAAAACTCAAAAATCTTTCTCTCATTGTAAACAGTCAAATGAAAAAATGTGAAATTATCACAAGTGTACCTAAAAGGTACACTTGACAGTACCTTCTTTCTTTTAATTCCCTCAGGATTTTGTGATTTCCACCAAACTCTTGAATGGTTACGAGTTTGAAGCAAGTGTCCTGATTCATAAACTTCTATCCTAAACTATATTATTAGACCAGACTCACATACTTGAGTTACAAATAATAAGTGGTCTAAGTTAAGCTTCACAAGCCACACTTTCCAAAACCCCCAACCCCACATCTCAGCCGCTGGCATTCATTTTGACTGTTCCCTTATTTTGGGAAACCCACAATGGTCTCATTACGTAAATACCACCTGTGCCTATTTATCCAAAGAAGCAAAGGGCCCCTTAGCAAAAGCAAAGTGTGAAATAATGCACTTTGGATTTTTTTAAAGTAGGTTGGGATTTTTTACGTGAGGTTGATAGGCTTTATTAAAGTCATCTCTTTAACATACTTTTGCTTTAATAAAAAGACAGGCCCTTGACTGTGTTTCATCTGCTCTGTTTTAAAAATTATATGAAAACTGGATTATAGCATGAACCTAAAACCGCCAACATGTTTTGCCCTTTGTTTCCTATTACTGACGACCTTGTAGTAGATTTCTCTATTGGTTCATAGGTAATGAAAGTGTCAAAGTGTATCCAAATTATAATGCTACCTGTATTTTCTAGATCTACTCACAAGTTCTTGTGAGTCCATTATTGTATGGCAACAATATATAACAATTACAAAAGGATATGCCCAAAATAGATCAAATCACAGAATCCCCTGTGACTAATTTTGCTAACCACTTCTGATATTAAGCACCAGTATCCATTCATATCTAAAATAATTTATTTTGTGTTTTTTTTTTGTTTTTGTTTCTTGCGGTACGCGGGCCTCTCACTGTTGTGGCCTCTCCCGTTGCGGAGCACAGGCTCCGGATGCGCAGGCTCAGCGGCCATGGCTCACGGGCCCAGCTGCTCCGCGGCATGTGGGCTCTTCCCGGACTGGGGCACGAACCCGTGTCCCCTGCATCGGCAGGCAGACTCTCAACCACTGCGCCACCAGGGAAGCCCTAAAATAATTTATTTTAAAATATCAGATGGTGAAATTGCTGAAAACAAGATTAATATACAAAAATCGGCCAGTGATAGTAATTTTAAAAAGCAGGAAAAAATTTCATTTACGATTATACACTTTTATATCTTATATACTTGTATATATATGCAAAATAAATGTACGTTTATGATACAGACATTTAATATACATATATAATACACAGTATTTGACCTAACAAGAAATGTGCAAAACCTATGAATAAAGAACTAAGAAATTACTGAGGAATATAAAAGATCTAAGTAAACACATATACTATATTACTGTACGGGAGTTTTCATTATTGTAAATATATCATTTTTTCCCAAATTAATCTATACCTTTAAGGCATTTCTAATCAAAACACCAACAGAAATTTTGGGGAAATTTGACAAATGCATTAAAAATTTCATTTGGAAGGAGAAATGTGTAAGATTACCTAAAAAAACAGAGGCTGCAGAACAGTACTATAGAAGGGGCACTTGCCTTTCCATATATTAAAATACATTATTTAGCTACAGTAATTAATCTAACTCTATACTGGTGAAGGAATAGAGAATTAGACAAATGAAATCACACAGGACAAGATCAATGAATATTACTATATAAAATTAAACTTCCACATGGCAACCAGTCTGAAAGGTCAAAGGACAAATGATAATCTGGGAAAATGTTTACAACATAAGACAAAGGTTAATATCCTTAAAATATAAAAAGTTCTTACCAATATTTTAAAGGTTAGACAAAACAACTCCAACACTAAAACAAAGGATATGAATATAAAATTGTATGTCTGTTAAACATAAGAAAAGATACTCATACTCACTAAGGAAAGTTAATTTGAGCAATGATAATTTTTTCATCTCTTAGACTGACGAAGATTAAAAATGATAAATGCAAGAGAGTGGAAAAATGGACACTTGCATACAACGATAGTGAAAATGTAAACTGCAGCTTTTTTAGAAGGCAATTTAGCAGTATCTACTAAAATATTAAATCTACTTATTCTTTGATCCCATAATTTTACATGTTGGGACTCTATTCTATAGGAAAACATGCACAAGTCTGTAAAGATATATATGTGTAATGTTCACGTCCTACCATATATAAAATTTTAAAAATGGAAACAACTTAAGTGACATCAAAAAGTGAATGGTTAAGATAAATAACAGCACATTCATATTGTGAAATATAATATAACCCATAAATGAATAAGGTAGCTCTATATGTAATCACTTAAAAAATATATCTAATAGTACACTGTACTTTGAGTATATTGTTAAGTTTAAAAAAAAGAATTTGGAGGAAGAGTGTACAAAATATGATCCCACATTTGTATAGGTAAAGAAAAGAATCTGAATGTTTACAGATTCAATTACTTCATATCCTTTTGTAATGATTGAATACTTTTTCAATAAATATATAATATTTTTTTGTGTTAAAGTATAAGTCTGGGGGGGAAAGATCTAATGTTTCTAACATGAAATACTGCATTCAACTGAACATTTTTTTCAAGGAGAGTTTCTCTTTCTTCTAGCAGATAAATGGCTATAAATTTTAGCTGTGAAATCGTTTTTTAACTTTTGAAATGCATTTATTTTTCAAGCATTTATTGGGTACATTAGATTCTGAGAATATAAAAATGAATGAGACATTATCTCTGCCTTGAAGAATCCCAAAGTATACTGTGAGGGATAGACCAGTATATATATAAGTACAATAAAGTGCTGAAGTTACTGTGACAGAAGTGTATATTATACAGGGATAAAAATGGAAAGGAAAGGTCACTTGGGGGAAAACATATCAAAAAAGACTTAAGCTTATGCTTGAGTCTTAAGGTCTTAAAGATGCTTGAGTCTTAAATATGATGTGTTGGCCAGATAGACAAGAAAAAGGGAGTAAATGAGAAAGACACATACGTATATGCATTCTTCTACTTAAGCAAAGTATTTCTGGATAGAATGCTACAAAAATAAAATGAGAATTTTTAATGTCAAACCAAAACAATATTCAAAGCTATAATAATTCTTCTAACATTCATCTAAAATAATTTTGTTTTCTATGCTAGCTGAAAATCACTTTTAAGTTGTGGTTATTGTTTACAAATTTTTTTTCTAAAAAAAGTCTACAAAAATGATTTTTGTTCTACTTAAAATCTCATTTTATTTCTTAATTAAAAGACAAACTGCCTTGTACTTGTACATGCAAAGACTTTATGCTCTCACTGCTTAAATTCTGATATTTTTCTAAAAGTCACCCTACACTGTAGTTCCAAAGCTCAACATGTTTGAATTCAACACAAAAATACCCTAACACACACAATAGATATGGTCTATTTTCACTAAAGAGTTACATTTTGCTAAACCTAAATGTCTTTAATACTGCTTTCAGGTAATGTATCTCCTTAGCTGCAAACTATTACCAAATTAATCTCTAAGAGACACAACACACCACATATGCACAAAGAAAAATGTGGGCTTTTTACCTCATGAAGCGTGAGATGTTTCCCATCCTTTCTCTTGGAGTCAAATCTGCCATATATTGCACTATATTTTCGAATTTCCTCCTCTTTGTGTGGATCATCATCACTCATCTCAAAGATGTGACCAATCATTTTGGCCAACTTCTTGTTGGTTTTTAGCAGCTCTTTCACTTCGTTTAAGTCACTTTTCGGCAGCGTGGGGGCCATTCGTTCCACACACTCTGCTACAGAGAGCGCGGCAGCAGCATCCAGCGCCTCGCTACTTTCTTTTGGGGAAGCTGGAGAGCCAAGGTCAGCTGGGGAGAGGCTGTGCTCGCTCTCAGTGGCATGGTGGCCTTGCCAGAGTCGGGACTCACTGATACTCTGCAGCGCTAAGCTCCCCACCACGTCTGATTTCCCCTGTCCCAAGCTCTGCACACAGGTGGTGGCAGCACACTTGGGGATTTTTAAATGAGGTTCCCGGGCATTGCTGTTCCTTTCATAACTGCTGCAGGATATTCCCAGCCAGGTTGGTGATCCCTCTGGTAATTTATAGATGGGTATGCTACTGACAGGCAGGGACGTCAGCGGCTGATTGAAAAGGCCAGGGTTTGTAACCCAGTCTCTCAAAGCCTTCTGTAGCCTCCTAACATGAAGGGGCTTGCTAGCCATGCCCACGAGTGCCATGATTTCCAAGAATTCCTCTTCTCCAGCTTCACAGAGTTGCTGGACATCATCACCACCTTGTTGGATAAAGGCATCAAAATAAGAAAGCAGATTGGCTTTTTGTAATATTCTGTACAGCTGCAACTCCCCCAGGGTCCTGGGTAGGGCCGCGGCCATTACTGTGGATGGGCTTAACCTGCAAAAAGAAGAGGAAATACTCATCACACTTGCTCCAAACTTCTTAAGCCTATTTGTTAGACACTATAGGATTTAAGAGTTCAGTATGGGGAGAATAAAAAACAAGCAGCATTTGCATAGCAACTGACTGTTAAGGAAGCATTCTCTCTACGCCTAAGTTATCTTATTTTACTCTCCTATCAACCTTAATGGTCAATATTCAGTAATAGTTTCCATTTTAAAGAAAAAATTATAAAGGCTCAAAGAAGATAAGTAATTTGCCTGAGATCTCACAAATAGCTAAGCAGAAGTCTAGGGACTCAAACCAAGGCTCACAGGGCTCTATATCCCATATTTTTGACTATTCACTTTGCTGCTTCCATGGTGTGGACACAGAGGCAAAGTGAAGGATAATCAAATTCAGAAGGGGGTAAGAAGTATACTATGCTACCATGCACTGAATACTTATTTCGTGTCACACTGTATGACAAACACTTTATATTATGTCTAATCCTCACAACAGCCCTGTGAGATAGGTAGAGTTAATTCCCATTTTATAAAAAAAAAGTAGCAAGCTTAGTCTGGCAGGCAGAGGATGAGAGATTTCAGTATGAACTGGAGTTGATAAGATAGAAGGTGGTATACTTAGGAACTGAGAAAAAAAGAGGCAGGAAAAATTCAGACAAGACTTGGTGATCACTTAGATGTAAGTGATGAAAAGGAGAGGAAATGTCTAGAACTGCAACAGGCATTGGGGATACAGAAAATCAGGGATGATGGAATTCCCTTTCAAACACATGGCACTTGAACATGGCACAAGGTAGAATGCTTAAGTAGAACTGTCCTGTGTGCAAAATAACAGACTGGAGCCTAAGTGCATCTCAGGGTTAGAGACAGAGGATGAAGCCAAGGAGGGTGGAAGATCCCTCCAAAGAAGCAGCAGAGAGCCTCAGACAGAGACAAGGAACCAATACTTTTAGAGCTCAAGCGAGGCAGAGAAGTCTGCCTTTAAAGAGACAGAACAAGACCCAGCAAAGCACTGCTTGACCTCTTAGCAGCCTTTAAAAGTTATTCACAGTTGCCTGGAGACCTTCCACAGGCAAAGAGGAGTTGGGCAAGTACTTCCATTTAAGAGAAACAAACTTGTAATCAATGCACCTTTAGGATTAAAAGGACCCTATAGCCCTCTAAGGGCAAAAATTATAGTAGGCCAAAAGAATACATACACCAAAGGAAAGTGAAAGCTCCACTCTCAACTCAGAAAGTAAGGAGCAATTGTTAACTGGGAAATAAGACAAGCAGAGGAATATTAGGAACACCAGATCACCACATTTGGGACTTCTGCTTTATGCCATCAACCAGAATTCTACCCAGAATTCCAGTTTCAGTCATCCCATCCAAGGAGAATGCATTTCCCTACCACCTAAGGACTGACTCCTGGGAAGCCCCCATCTCCTGGAACCTCTGTGTCATCCACAGTCTGCTCTAATCAATTACTGACCTCCTCAAATTTTATGGTTCTTTATTTTATAAGGGCATTGCCAGGTGACCTGATGACTTCCCAAGATACATTAAAAAAGACTGCATCTGAGCCCACTAAACGTCTGCTGACAGCCAAGAAATCATGTGGGGTGCTTCTGAAAAAATTTCCTAGGTCCTTGGGTTGCATCTCAGCAGACTCTCATGATTTGGCAAATTTGGCAAACTACACTAGAGGATCCCTATTTAGTACACTCTCTGGGCACCATGAACTCCTACAGGTTTTGAGACCACCGTCATGTTCATGCCACCTCAGTTCTCTGGAAAAAACATTCCTGCATCTTCTGAATCACCCATAGGAGGATCTGCTTTGTCCTCCCACTCCAGGGGAGACTTTTTGGGGAGAGAATCTATCATCCAGCTGGACACTAACCCACAAAAACAAGCTCTTGGGAGTTACAGACACAAGTTAAAGTCTGTATTGAACAACATTATACCAAATGGAAGGGTTTCTAGAAAGTGTCTGAGGTAGAGGAAAGGAAACCTACTTTCCCTTCATACACCTAATGCAATAGCTCCACGGGCTTTCAACTCAAGAGTATACACACAAAAAAATATCTATACACACGCATAAATATATGTATGCACATACACACACAAAATCATTTTTATAAGAGGACTGTAACCTTGCAAGATTTATGGTGTCATCAATTATCTCACCATATATACTCCCCCAAATTATGGAATAAAGTAAAAATTACATGAGAAAATCTAGAACAGATTTCTTGAATCTTTTTATGAGCAGTAAGAGAACAAAGAATATATGATGGACAAATGTAAAAGGGAAACTAAAGGAGAACTAAAAACCCAAACTTAGGTTTTATTCTTCTGAGATAAGCCAAAGATTTTAGAAAATATTAATTTTCAACTTTTATCCTTTCTCATCTTTACCCAGAAAGAAAGGAAACCCACTAGTTCCTAAGAGAAATCCCTCATGTTCCGGTAAGAAAGTAGTTATGATTATAATATCCCCATAAGGACTGATAGGACCCAGTGTACATTTCCAAAGTCAAGACACCAGATGAAAGATAAATAAGTGAACTATTTAGACTCCCAGGAGGCTTTCTAAAGGCCCACACTTACTGCTGGGAAAGGAGTTTTCTCCCTAAGCTTTTTGCTTTAAGAGAATGTTTCAGTTTCCTACAAAGCCTGTTGGGATAATTTAAACAACCACCACTTCATACATTAACTTGATTTGATTTAAAAGAAAATTTTTATGAGATTTTCTGTTTTTACAAACCCTGTATCTATTCGTGTTTCGACATGCAGGTCAAATAAATCAAAAGACAACTTCATCTCTCCAATCTAAAGTAAACGTGAAAGGATCCTAACACAATGCTGTATAATATAGGAAGCTGCGAGTAGAGTAAATCTACTCAGCTGCAAACGCCAGTTACCTGGCCTGTTCAAGAGATGCTGGAACAATCATGCTGAGTGTGACCTTTTTATAAATTCCACAATTAAGAGAAACCAGTTACCCATTTTCTAACTTCACTCAAAAGCTAAACCAAGGGCCTATATACAGCAAACCTCCACTTGCACCAGCTTAAATGTTCCTCAGCCTGGTCAGTTCCAGAGGAAGAGGAATTAAACAATGGACTCATCTAAGGCCATTTGTTGTTGTTTGTTATTCCATGATCTATTTTAAATGGTAATGATTTGTTCCTGAACCTTTTAAAAACAAACTCACTTTGGCTCCTTATGGGGTAGGATCAGTCATCTGCCAGATTTAAACTATGCTAAGTGAAATAAGGAGCTGGTTTGGCTCAGAAAACTTGACTGGTCAACTCCAGCTTTGTCCTCAAACCACAACACAGCACTTAATATGAATATGGGAAACAAAGCTTCTCTGACTTTCTCCAAGCTGGGACGTGGGGATTTAGAGTAAGGCAGAGTCTTTAATGGTCACAGGGGAAAAGAAGAACTATTCCTTCAAACCTGCCTCAATCTGTTCCAAGAAGCTTCAGCCTGCCTTCTGTCCTGACTCCTCGATCAAAACTCTCGAGGAACTCCTGTCTCTTTAACCTCTCTGCAGCTTGACATTACTCCTTGAAACACTCTTCACCTGACTTTTTGCTATATTATGTTGCCTTCCCTTACTCTATTGTAAGTGCAGGAATTTTCCAAAGTTTTATATTAGATCCCATTTCTACTGTCTTTCCATATTCTCCCATGATGATCTCGTCCACTCCCAGGCTTCAATATCACCTATAGCAGACTGACCTCCAAACTGCTATCTGTAGCTTGGACCAGTGGTTCGTGGAGTTCCTGCAAAGTGTTCTCAAATCCAAGCATACACCAAGCACTGTCTCACACATATACATCTACTTTGCAAATAAAAGTAAATAAATACTTTGTGATTTAATACAAACTCATTTAAAAGTGTAACTGAATTCACAGTTGTTGCCATTATATCAACAAACACTAAGCAAAATTAATGAGTACTTGCTTTTTTTTTTTTAGTTTAAAAAGTGATCTTCATACCCAAAAAGTTTGAGAACCCAAACTTTTTCTGATAATTCAGCATTTCAACTACCATGTGGAGATTGTCAAACATCTCAAATTTGGTAAGTCCAAAAGCAAGTATGTTATCTCATTTTCCTCCCTTCTTCCAGATTCCCAAATCTACTCTTCCCAACTCTCATTTCTCTTAGTTGCACCACTACTCTTCCAGTTTCCTGGATTAATAAAAGTAGAGATTCCTTTTTTTTTTCTAATTTTTATTGAGGTATAGTTGATGTACAATATATATAAGTTTCAGGTGTACAACATAATGATTCACAATTTTTAAAGGTCATATTCCATTTATAGTCATTATAAAATATTGGCTATATTTCCTGTGCTGTACAATATATCCTTGTAGCTTATTTATTTTATACATAGTAGTTTGTACCTCTTAATCCCCTTCCCCCTCCCCACTGGTAATTACTTGTTTGTTCTGTATCTGTGAGTCTGTTTCTTTTTTGTCATATTCACTAGTTTTATTTTTAAGATTCCACATATAAGTGATATTATACAGTATTTGTCTTTCTCTGACTTATTTCACTTAGCAAAATACCCTCCAATTCCATCCATGTTGTTGCAAATAGCAGAATTTCATTCTTTTTTATGGCTGAGTAATATTCCATTGCATGTATATACCATATTTTCTTTATCCGTTCATGTTTTTGTTTTCCTCTTCCTTCCTCCAATCTACATGTCCTTAGGCCACATCACCACCCTTTTTCTTTCTCTGCCTCAAAAGCACCTAATTCTAATTTTCCCCTTGCTTCTTGCCCCAACTTTGAAAACAGCTACCTCACCTTCAATACTTCCCATACTGCAATGCCAACTTTATCTTCCTAAAGTACAGGTGTGGCTCTTTACTCACCTATGCAAATCTCCCCACTTCATGGAGGAAAAAATCCAAACTACTCATATAGGCATCCCAGACCTGTCCAGCCTCCTCTGTGGTCCTTAACCTGCCCCTATGCTTGTGCCAAACACTGGACTTTCCTCAAATGGTTCTTCACAGAGAAACTGTTAAGAATCAGGATACAGACGAGTAAACACACACTTAACCACTCTGATAAATGCTATGCCAAATGTTATCTTCAATACATAAGGAGCCATGGAACAGAGAAGCAGACTGCCATGGTCCTGTAGAACAGGTTACCTTAGGCTACAGGCTCCTTGATGGTAGGGACTAGTTCTCATTCATCTTTTATCCCCTTCTACTCCCAGCAAAGCGTTCAAGGTAGAACAACATCTCTATAAAGGCTTCTGTTGAATGAAACCCAACGTTTGAGTCAGAATCTGATCAGCAGCCTCCTTTTATATTCCAAAAGGAATAACCTCTGTGTAAATTAGGGTCCAATCTAACAAAAGCACATCCTGCTACTTTACCTACAATCTTTTTCATTCTCTCATCCTCGATACTTCCCCTTTTTTATAGCCTGTGTGGTGGATTCCCATAAGATGGCCGGATGCTCTCCCTTTACAGGAACACACGTGGTTGCGGCGACAACAGACATCATGTTAGCCCAGCCCCAAAAGCAGCCTTTTAAGTCAATTTCAGGCACGAGAGATCCCAGGTCTCTTTCCTCTTGGTTTCGACGAATTAAAATGTTATCCCCTAATAAACATCAATCCTATAAATGATCATTAGACTCAAATGCATTCATGAACACTACACTTGAATCCTCCTCTTCGTGATGCAGGAAATATATATGTATACACACACTTTTATGAAGTCCATGGCATTCCAAAGAAGAGAGACTCTGCCAGGAGTGGGGAGAAACCAAGGGCAAAATCCTAGTAAAATCTGACTTATTTATGCAGAGGACTGTAAATTCCTGCCTCCCAACACAGCCTGAAATTTTTACTTTAAAATTATCTAAGTTAACAGCAACCTCTTAACAGACTTCTAAAAAAATGTGAAAAAACTTGGGAAGCGTTAGCTCATGAGTCACTTACAGATTAAGGTGAATTAGTTCCACCAGCCTGTTTTCCTCTAACACCTAGATGAGATTTAGTACACGCTAAGGGAATGAAAGCTAGAGATGGGAAATGGCAAGGAAGGAGATAGGAAATCTGAGGCGAGTGACCGCATTTAAAGCCTCGGAAGTATTGCCAAGGTTGGGAGAATGTAGCCTGAAGGTATAGGAGCCTGGGGAAAGGGTACAATGGGTACACTACAGGTTGAGACTGGAAAGGTTTATAACAAGCCAGAATTTGGCTTAGGGAAGGATAAGCCTTAAGCCTAGGAAGTGAATTCTTCTCATTTTTGTCCCAGTCCTAGAACTCAACCTAAAATAATTAAATGTAGTTTAGTTACATGACGGGTTATTTAAGATAGCAGGTCGACCCAGGTCCTCACTCCTGTGTATGTGTTTTAAGTACCAAACAATTTAACTAGGCATATTTATTAATAAGCATGCAGGGATATATCTTAAGTCAAGATATTTTTGGATCTTATTACTATAATAGCTATGAATTAAACATATAGCTTCTAATGAATTAACAGTAATTTAGGAAACTTAAAATGTTCTCTCCTACTGATTTTTTCTGAATTCTGAATGAAGCTGGAAAAAATTTCTTATAAACCTCAAAACTTTAAAGTTTCAGTGTATAACCCTAAATTTATCAAAGTTAGAAAAAAATCAGATTTATTTTGCAATTAAACAATAACTATGCATTAACTTAGCTGTGATACCAACAGGTAAACACTAGTATTTCATATAATATGGATGGAAATTCTTCAATCAACTAACAGTCAAATTATTCAACATACATTAAGTGCCATTTGAGCATGTAGTATGCACACAGTACATATAAATTTTATCATTTTTTTCCCAGAAATTTATCTTTAAAAATTATTAAATTAACATACTGTACAAGTTAAGGTGCAACTCTCTAAATACAATGTATTGAGAAATGACAAAACTATTTGAAAGCTTAATGGTATGTTTTAGCTGTGAGAATTCTGACGAGGATTGCTACTTTTTCCCCCAAAATCAACTTCTCTAATTTCCCACTTGTTCCATTGTTAAGTTTAAGGGAGTATATTCTACTACTGCACTAGTTGTTGAAAATGTCAGATCAAAAAGGAAATTTGCATTTAATATAAAAACTGTACTGTTTTTCATTCTACTAAAAAGAATGAACGAAGCAGTTAAAATAAAACTAAATCCAAAGCAAAGGGGCTAGGAACCTTGTATTATGCTTAAGTGGGCATTATTTATTCCTTATTATTTTTAATAAACTCCACATGAAATATGCGTACACAAGATTATACAAGCAAGATCTTAACCTGTTCAAAACATATTAAAAAATGGTCATTTCCATGAAAGTAACATAAAATATACCATGCTTCTGTAGTATCCAGAATACAGCTTCACACTTAAAGGTAAATTGTACAAAGCTTTTATTTCCAATAATGCACATGAATAGCACCAACAAAAACAACCTGACTTACCATAATGGAATAGATGAACCCCAAGTCTTAGGACAGAGTCTAGATCAACAGACACAAAAACCTGACATACTTCTGTTTCCATGCAACCATCTTTTACTTTAAATTTTTAAAGTTCATGCAATAAATTCTTCAAAGGTCTCCCCCACTTTGTCATACATTATAATTTCTTTCAAAGCAGCCATGGTACAAACACCCAAAATCTTTAATAATAAATCAATATGCTCTTAATATGTGATTAAAAGAAAATATCTAATACTTTAACTGATTCTCCAAATAGCAACAAGGAGAATGAAAATATATTAACTTTTCTACAGGGCAATGGATATTTACTAGTCATCAAAAAAGAAAATTTTTTAATTAATTTAGCTGAGATTATTCAATTTTATTAATAATTCTGAAACAAGACAAGATGTATTCACCAGATATATCAAATTATTTATTAGCTATATAAGCTCACTAAATTTCCTTGTATCAGCTATAGTATTCCTAAGGATTTCTGTCATGTTCATTACATCCACAATTAGCAGGAAGAATGAAATAAAAGTCTACACTGCCTCCATGTTTTTATTATTATTATTGATTTATTCACATATAATAGGAAATCACCAGAGCCAAGGAAAACGAAATTTTTCCAACACCAGGATGGCATATTAACTTTTGTGCAAGATGTTAAAAATAGTAAAATTAAAACAAGAAAGCTTCCAATGGTTCCTTAACATTTTCTTTCAAGACTTGATTTTCCAATAACTAATAGTCAAACAGGAATAAAGAAGGCTGACCTTGCCAGACATTTATAAACTCTCAAGAGAACACTTACATGCAAGGTAATACCTATAAGGACAACATAATTTGTAAAACTTAACGAAAATATTAAATGTTTCAAATGCTGGAAAATGGAGGAAAAAAGGATATCCCCTGAATCTAAGCCACTTTTACTGGCACTTAGACTAGACTAGAGGCAGCTTTTTAGGTCTTCTGGAAAATATCAGTCCCCACCCGAAATAGAGAAAGTAAATCCTCTGCATCCTTTCTCCCAATATTCCTTCTTAAAACCCACACATAAATCAGGACGTGTCATAATCTGGTATGTTTTAGAGGGGAAATTTTTCAAAAAAGTGAAAATCTAAGAAGGTATTTCATTGCGTGCGCACTTCTCTAACAAAACAGCCTAGCATTTCCTACGTGACTAATCTTTTTAAAATTCAGTTCCTATGCAATCTAATATTATCTATTAAAACTGCCAAAATATTTTAAAACAAGATCCGAGTATCTCCCTCTCAGCTCTGATCTTTGCACTCCTTAAGTTTGCAGACACGTCACTGGCAAACCAATTGGTAGTGACAGGTTACTCCAAATCAGCTCTTTCGGAAGGAAATTTTAAATTGACATCTACCCCCAAATTTTCCATGCCTCCCGGATCTCACGTAGTAAGGAATTAAGTATATGCAAGTCAAGGATTCCTCCTGATCACCTGCTACAAAACGTGGTCTGCGGAACCTATAAATGCAAATATATTCCAATTCAATTATCCTTTCCCCCAAGATCTTACAACAATTAGGCTCACTCGAAGTGTCGTTTCATATCTTGCGCCTTGTGAACCCTGACAATGCAGCCCATAAGCATTTGATTGCACTTGCAACGTTTCTCCATGAATAAGGTCACAGACTACTGCATCCAAAGCTTGTATGTCCCGCATGTGTTTGCAAATCCCACACTCGGCCTTAACGAGCACGAGTCTCTCGCTTCCATCGCACCTCAGTGCTAAGTTTCTGTAAGCCACTTCCAAACAAAACTCTCCTTCCGCTTTCCAAAAGAAAACTACATTCCAAAGGAGAGGATACCCAGGACGAAAATTAAAGCTCTAAGTGCAACACTCTTACAAAGTAAACAAACCAACAAAAAGATTCTGCCCCTGCGGAAGGTGGCTGCAAAACTCTGGGGCCGGCGCGCGCACCCACCGCGCACCACAGACCACGCAACCCACCACCGCTCCGCGTTCCGCGCCCCGCGCGACGGCCCCAGTCGGGTCAGGAGAATGGACGCTGCGCCCCCGGCTTTCTGGGAGGAGAATGCACAGGTCGGCCCCGCTGCCTCGCTCGCCCTCTTCTCGCTGCCCCTGCGCACCGAATTTCTCCGGGAATCGCCCACACGAGCCCAATGCCGCCCTCTCCTTCCGGCGGCGGCCGCGCGGGGCCAGCTGCCCTGGACGCCCGCCTCCCCAGGTGCCGGCGCGGCCCGGAGACTCCGCCGCTCCAAGTTCGCCCGCGGTCGCACGAGCTTGAACGCATCCCGCAGTTGGCGGACAGCCAGTTGGTACGTACTAGGCCAGCGGCTGCAGCGGTCTTGGCGCGCTCTCCCCCAGGACGCCTTAGCAACTCCGAAGTGACGGCCCCCGGCTCTCTCTCATTCGGCTGCTGCGGCCGGGTCGCCCCCGCTCCCATCGATGGGGGAAGGAAAGGTGGTGGGCGCTCTCTCCCTGCTCCCCCCACCCCCAGCTCGGGCCCGCCACTCCTTCCCGCCCGCCAGCCCCGACGGCGCTCGCTCGGCCGCGGTGGCGGTGGCGGCGGCTCCTCCCGGCGCGGGCGGCGGCGGCACCTCCCCCGCCGCGTCCTCCCCCCTGCTCCCCGCCTCCCTTCCCTCCCCGCGCGCGCTGCCCGTCCCCTCCCCCTCCCCCGCCCGCCTCCGCCGCCTCTACCCCCCCCACCCCGCCCGCTGTCACATTGGGAGATTCCGCTCTTGGTACATTCGCCGCTCTGGCTCCCGCCCACGCGCGGCCGAGTGACGCAGATCCCGGCGTGGGCAGCCGCTGGGCGGGGGCGGGGGCGGCGGCCGCCAGGGCCCGGGCTCGGCCTCGGCCTCGGCCTCGGCCTCTTCCCGCCGCCCCCTCCGCGGAATCCGGAGGGCGGCCCATTCACTCGGCAGCTGGGAGGAACCAAGTGGGCGCCCGGGAGGGGGCGGCTCCCGCGAATCCTGCTCCCGGCGGGGGGAGGGGGCGGGAAGGAGGAAAACGGGGGTGGCGGGAGGGAGGGAGGGAGGGAACGCCGCCTCGGGCCTGCTCTCCAGCTGCCGAGGGAACTGGGAAGGTTTGCAATTAAAAAAAAAAATTTTTTTTTTAAATGTGTGAGGTTCCCAATATAGTGTTTCAAAGAGCACGCCCCGCCAAATCCAACGTCCCCCGGGAGGCTGATTTAAAAAAAAAAATAGCACGCTCAGCCCACTAATCTGGGCGCCAGTCTCGCCTCTGCTCCCGCCCGAGCCGGCTCGAGGCTGGTGGGCCAGTTGCGCCCCTCCCGGGTGGCCCAGGCATCCTGCGGGAAGTGGGCTGCGACCGCAGGGAGTGGGGGTGGCAGGTGCGCGGCGCTGGGAGGAAAACTGGCAGTTCCAGAGCATCTCAGCCCCGCCCATCTTGCCCCGTGCCCACCACCGTCCTGGCGTAGGGAGGAGGGGAGGAGTGGGAACCCACAAACCCGAAGTGCGGCGTTGACAACTGTCTTGTTTGCTGGGTAACTTAATTCCAACCTTCTCAACCCTCCGGAAAACCTGCTTGTTATTTTACTGGCTAATATTTTCTATTTCCACGGTGTAAAAATCCGACAGCGCTAGAACAGTCCTGGCGTGTGTTCGAATAGAGTTCCCAAGGCACGCTGTAGAATTTTTGAGTTTGGTTTGCATGAACTTTTTCTAACCAAAGAAAGTATTAAAACACCTCCAAAAATGTACTTAAACGATTGCCAAAAAATCTGGAAACTTGTTTTAGGGTCTATTTTTCCTTTCTTTGCAAAAACGGGAAAAGGGAAGAATTCCTCGAATTAGCATTGTGTTCTTGAAGGGTAGAGAGCATCTAGTAAATCTAAAACTACTGCAAATACAGGTAAAATTCCGTTTAAACGTACATATACAAACAGCTTTATAGGAGGCCAGTCCCACATCCTGGCTGGCCTCCCAGAGTGTGCCTACTTTGCTGATGGGGATACAAGGCATTCTTTGAGATGGGAAATTCTTCATACCACATCTTTATGTTGCAGCAATGGATGGGGATGATAAC